TTTTCTTAGTTTTCTTTCGTAATAGAGGATGCATTGGTTAGAAAAGCTAACATTTCCCTCGAGTGTTATTTATGTTCTATGTACACACATGTTCTTTAGCTTTCTCCAATTCAACGTCGTTTCTTTTTCTTAAAAGGTTTAGATCAAATAATATATGAAAGGGCCTCTAGCTAGAGCTATAACTAAGTTGAGTTACTCTTCAATTATTTGATTCTAACTTGAGTTAGGTTTGACTCATCTCAAACTTGAGTTTGAACTCAAAACTAAACTTGAGAAAATCATGTTGAATCAAGTTTGAGTCAAATTCAAAACTCAACTTGACTCAATTTTAATTTAGATTTTAAATTAAATTCGAGTAATTAATTGAGTTTGTAGGTTAAGTTCACAAGTTGAATTCGAACTCAATATATTTAACTTGATAAAAACTCAAACTCGACTTGACTCATTATTTTGACATCAAGCTTAAGTTTGAGTTTTAAAAAGCCCAAGTTCAAGTTCTAAGGAACTCGATTAGACTAATTTATAGCATTGTTACTTGCTATGATTTCCTTCCCAAGCAATATATGAAATCATTTTTGAGTTTAATGGATTAAAAATTGTGTTACAATAAAAATATTGACACAAATCTTATTAAGGGTTTATTATAACATTATAACTTGATGTCAAATTCAAGTTAGATGACTACTAAAAAAATGACTTTTTAACACTGCATATTTTGACACTGTAATTAAGTAGTGTCCAATAAAAAATTTTAGATATTGACCTTACCAAGCATTCTTACCAAGTATTTGATATTACTATTATTTAACACTGTATAGTCAAATAATTACCCATCATATTGGAATTTTTTTCACCAAATTTATTGAACATTGCATTGCAATGCCAATAGAATAATACTCTTGTATAACTCTTTTTGACACCATTGTTGACACCTCACTCAAAATTTTAAAAATAATATATAAATTTAATTTAAAGAATTAAGTTTTAAGATTATTGGAAATATTGGAGTTGCCACCTATGTAACTAAAGGAGAAATAGGTCACCGCTAGTCTATGAGAGATTAGAGTTTGAGGGTTTAGTTAGGGTATATCTCACAATTTTTTATGTAAAATGTTGACTCAATGTACTCCAAGAGGAGGGTGAATTGGAGTTGAAAATTTTTCACCTCTTTGCAACCACCAAACAAAAATCAAAGAGAGAGTAGGGAAAAAGAGCTTGCACAATGATTTTATAGAAGTTCGGTCCAACCACTTGAAACCTAATCCTCTACCTTGGTTTCACTCACCAAAGATTTCTTCCACACTCTTCACTAACAAAATCAAGGGCGACTTAAAGGAGCCACTCAATCATTTTACAAGAAAAAGAGTGTTTCTCTCAAATCTCACCCCTTTACAAGATAAACCCCAAGAATCCTCTCTATAGATCACTCTTGAAGGATTAATCACACCTACAAGATCACTCACAAATAGAACAAAAAGAGGATTAAGTAAAGATCTCTCAAAAATCAAAAACTCAAGTTAAAGTTCATGTAGGTAGGTAAAGATATTCAATGCAATGCTTTCTAAACTTCTTTTAGATCTTCTACCAACCATATTTATAACCCTATGATCAAAAATAGCTGTTAGTAGCCATTGGGGGTCATTTAATGCTCTACAGAACGCATGGTTTGAGTTGCAGAATTGTCAGCATAGTCGGCTTAAACTTTTAGAACCGACTCTATACAGCCGGCTTACCATTCCTGCAGCCGGCTCTGCGGGTCTCCTGCATTCTATTTTCTCCGTAGAGCCAATTTAAAAATTCTACAGCCAGCTTTGCGGGTTTCCTGCACATTCTGTTTTTTTTCACAACCAGCTGCAAAGTCTAAAGCCGAATTTGGGATTCCAACTTTAAAAACATTAAAAAATCTTCAAATCACTCGACTGTTATGCATTAAATGCACTCTCACAACTGGTTGCAAAGTTGGAGCCGGCTTTGCGTCTTTTCTCCTCGTATGCAAAACAATTGACTTTTAAGTTTTTACCTGTAGAGACGATTGCATCTTCCAAAGCCGACTCTCTACCCAAAGCCAGCTCTCTGCACTTCTATGCCGACTGCAAGTTTCAATAGCCGGCTCTCTGCACATTTTCAAGCCTTTTGGTCCATTTTTAGTGCAATCCAAGTTTACTTACTTTGCAATCTTTTGACATTTTAACTACACATTTAAATGAACCAATTAGTCACTCAAATGTGTTTTATAATCATCAAAATCATAAGTACAACATAAAACACAATTATATACTTTAAATTTGAAGAATTTATTCGGCTCGTAAAAGCTCTTTTACATAAATGATTTTAAACAAAACATTTAAGACATGCATGGATATAATCGAGTGAAGTTAGGAGTTTTTAGGACTCAATTGAGATAATAAAAAATATGAAGATGCAATTGAGAAAAGTTGGGCCAAATTGAGGTCAGTTCGAATGCATTGACCTGATTTAGTCAAATGCAATTAGGAGGGTCAATCAAAACTTTTGGGTGAAGCCCAG